ACAGGCAGAACTGGGTGCTATTCTGTTTCAGGAATTTGAGCTCGAGACCTACCGTGAACTCTAATCCACTGTGTGTTCTTGGGGAGGCATTTGATCTCTGTAGATCTGTTTCCTTACACTCCAGTGAGAACGTTGGCCTAAATTATCTCTAAAGTCTTTTACAACTCCAATTTCATTTTAGTTTTAAGCTTCAACATTTCAGTTGCCTCCAAAGATGGCAGCTAGCATTCCACCCCCAAGTCCTGACCCCCGAAGTGTGATGGGTGAAGAAGCTCTCCCCCACTTGCCCACCCCCGAAGCAAGGATGAGCAGGTCTGGGCTGGAAACTAAGGCTGTTTCTGGGGGTGGGGGGGTGCAAATTGCTCAAGGGGCTGAGAGAGGTGGCTAGAGGAGACCAATCTGTGTCTTGACTCAGAACACAAGTCACCATGATTGTCATCTGCTTCCTTGCTTGATCCCAGATTTGTTATTTCATCCCAAATCACTGACTTAATAAAATGATATCAAAACAGGAAATAAACATTGGAGAGTATACTTGGTGGTAGCACAGTGCTGTGGCTCTGTATGATAAGCACTGGACTGTGAACCACAGGGTCAGCAGTTCGAGCCCACCAGCTGCTCTGTGGGATAAAGATGAGGCTTTCTGCTCCCACCAGGATTTATAGACTCAGAAACCCTAGACAGTGTCACTGACTCCACAGCACGTCACCAACACCAACTTAGTGGCAGCATGCATTTGTACTGTTAAGTGGTCTCACATTTGTAAACCTCTTGTGCTGTGGGTTAATGCACCAGACTGCAAACCTGTTTGAACTGCAAGGTCAGTGGCTCAAGCTCACCAGCCGCTCCTCGGAAACTATACAGGGTCACTATGGATTGGAATCGACTCAGTGGCACTTCACAACAGCAACAACAACACGAGTCAATATGTGTGCCGAGGGCACTGTACAAAATAACTGGGGTAGAAAACGTGCAGCTTCAACTATATACTGAAAGTGATGCCCAGTATGAGTGTGCCAGTCTGCTGTTCTGTCCCTGTATGAGTCGCTCTGAGAAGTGGCAGGCAGGGTATTATCATTGCAGTTTTCTCATGGGGAAACTGAGTTTCAGCATGATGAGGCGACTTGGCATGGTTGGCTGGGGTGCAGGGCACTGCTTTCCCCCAGGGCCACGTGGGGCTTGCTAACAGAGCACTGTTTTGCTCACTTGCAGCCACGGCCTCTGTGTCTGAGTTCTCACTTTCACGTGAATGTGTGTCTTATCTTCTCTGGGACTGAGGACACTCTTTGTGTTGCTAGGCAGTCTGTGCTTGTTCCTTTCCCTCCTGGCAAGAAAAAGCAGCCATTCTAAAAAGCAGCAATTATCACTCTTGGTTCCTTTGTACAGAGCCCTGGAGAGAATTTGTTGGGAATTGAGGAGCAAGAGACTGAACACCATATTGAACCTCCTGGTAATGGGGGCACATTTTGCATTCAGATGTTTCTTTGAAATCAGAGAAGATGACCAGTTACCCGAGAGCTCTGGCGTGAGCACAGGAGCTGGGCGGACGACAGCAGAAGGAGTGTTTTTATGGCTCTTCCAGGTGAGCCAGACCATCTCCTCAGCCACATTGCTCATGTTGTACTGCTGAGACTTCGCAACACCAGCTCTGGAGTTGGAAAACCCCAGGCGAGGTCTGGGTTGGGGCAGTTCTCAAGTCCCTTCTGCTGCACTCAGTACCTGGTAGGAACAAAGAAAATGGTGTCTGCTGGCTGAAGTCACAAGAATGTGAGTATCATGCGGCGTTCTGGGATTCCTACTCAAACCCACCAGAAGGGATTGGCTGCTTGCCACTTGGAGACTGCAGTGCACCGGGACTTTCAGATAAAAACATTTAGTACAGAGTTGAAAAACCATGTGATGGTCATGGATTTTGTGAAGAGTAACTGGTTTCCATCCCAGAGAAGAGCCCAAGTGTGCGTGATCCACATGTGCCGAGGTCTAAAGACAGAGGAACAGACAGGCGGCAGATACAAGGTATGGTGGAGGGTGGGCAGGACATCACAGTTGGGCAGTCCATCCAGAGGGACTGGAGCAGTACACATCAGAGCAGGCAGTGCATGCCTTCTCACTGATGGTTGGATAATTCTTTCCCAAAAGATTTGGAAACGACTCTTTTTATCTCTTATTTCACTTTAGCTTTTCAACTAAGTGCGGCATACTAACGCAAAGCAAACCCATTGCTACTGAGTCGATTCCAACCCCTAGGAAACCGGCTCACAGGGGACCCACAGAACAGAGTAGAGCTACCCCACAAGGGTTTCCAAGGCTGTAATCTTTATGAAAGCAAGTGGTCACATCTTTCTTCTGCAGAACTGCTGGTGAGTTTGAACTGCCAGCCTTTAGGTTAACTACCCATCACTTAACCCCCTTCTTCGCTGAGGCACCTTTCCGATTGCTGTTGATAAGTGCCGCCCTATTTAAGTGAACATTATTTACACCTGACACGTTTCTGCATCCACAAAGCCTTGGATAATTTGCATCTGCCTATAGAGACTAGATTACAGTCCTGTGAGCTAGTATTCTTTGTTCTGGAAGTCCACAACCTGCTTTATCTTCTAAAATGTACACTTAATCCATTTCCTGAATCTATGTGACTTTCCTTGATTAAGTCAAAATAGAATGATTTAAATTAGGCCAGGAAGAATGGCCTTTTGTTTGTTTAAGGGTAAGCACTAATTTCCAAGCTAAAATCTGTGCTGTGAAAATAAGGATCACTTCAACGGTTTGCAATGTCCAAGATGAGATAAATATATTATTCTGAGAAGTATTTGTATTCTTCAATCAGTACAAGCCTCACGCAGTTAACTTTCAGAAAATAAACAGAAATGAAACCCAAACTTCTATTGTGAGTGGAATAAACTATAAACAATTTTGCCATGGACTCCTACCCAGCTAGCCTACCAATCTCTTCTGATATATGTAATACACAACCGCTAATACCTTGTGAAATGGTAGCCCTTCTGAACATGAATGCTTCGTCCCAAAGTTGTTGCGTGAATGTTGGCAAACACTCCGTCTTTGTGCCTGACCAGGGCCTCAGAAAGCCCCATGATGTATAAGGAACAGGTTTTGCAGGGGTCAAGACTGCCTTCTCCCACTTCCAGCCCTGGGGATGTCAATTTCCACCTTCACAACAGACACTTAAAAGGCGTAGAGATAAATGGCAGCAAAGATAAATGGCATTAATTAAATTCAGAAGTAGTTGTTTCATTACTTTGTTCCCAAATTAACCAAAGCAAGGGGTATGCAATGCCAATGGAATTGAAATAAACAAGATATGTTATTATTCACAAGTCATGAATCAGATGGATGCAGGAGTTTGTCACCGTATAGTTTCATTTTTAAGGTTTTTATTGTGTATTGAGTGGATGTTTACAGGGCAGATCATCAGTTTTGCATTAAACAAATAATACACCTTGCTTCATTACAATAATTATAATCCCCTCTAGGTACATCAGTTAACAATATTTCTCTCTATTCACTTTAGCTTTTTAAAAAAAACACAACAAAACAACTCAGGCATACATAATTTACACCTCCAAAGGGCACATTCTGCAAGTCAGCCTCCTGGGTTCCATCTCTTACTTAGGCCCTCTCTTCCCATGAATCTAGAGTCCTCAACTGCTCCACCTCTCCATGACCCCATCTCTGCCTCCATCTCTGGCATCTCTGCTTCTCCGGATAATGTCCCGCATTTTGCTTGTGCTCTTCTCCCTTGATGTTCCTAGGGTCCTTTGTTTCTGGACTGTAAGGTTAACCACTCCCCTGTTTTTGTTACAAAACTTCTACCTTTACAATTGTGACAGTTGCAATTAGTCATGATAACAATTATTCACTATTGAAGCATATGAATCTTATCCCCATCTCTTTTCACCAGACCCATCTAGACAAGATGAAAACTATTCTGTGGGGTCTCTTTCTTTTCCCCCACACTCTTAAACTAAACTCCCTCTTGAAACCTTGTAAGCCAGTCACTTCATGCCTTTATTGCCCCCTCATTTTAGCTAGCCATTGTCTAAGTTGCCCGTCCCTATCTACCCTGTGTATAGAGGGGATAACATTGATACTTGATGTGAAGACTCCTTCCCTCTCTGTTGGTATTTACAGTTACCACCTCCATGAGTATAGGTCAGGTTCATCAAATTGTAGCAATTTACCCTTGTTTCCTTTACCAAAAATTATTATTATTATTATTTTTTTTTTATCTTCCTCTAGTCGAGTTCTGATTATCAAGCCATCGAGGCTAGGTCAAATGGGTACTGTCTGCAAGTTTGGGTGTCTATGGGTCTATGGACCATGGTTGAACTCAGCCCATTTCTTCATTGCTGCCTTTCCCCCTCTTGCACTCACCAGTAGACCAACGCGGTCACCAGCAAGTTTACATGCCTGTTCATGTGTTCCTTTTGAGTTTCAGTCTTAGAGAGGAGTTTGTCCTAAAGGAACTTGATTGCTTGCCTTGATGGCTTCCTGGCAAACAGCTTGCTTAGTCTTGTAGTAGCCAGTAATGCTGACATTTTTGTTTTCAGTTTTTCCTGATGATCTTTCTTTGAAGATGTATCTTCTGTTCTAGCTGTTCCAGGCTGGTCTGCTTGCCCTTGGTAGTGGGAATGTCCCACCTAATAAGATTCTGAATGGGACTCAGGATTCCCCCTAAGGTCCTATACTCTGCAAAGGCTTTGCAAGAGGCGTATTTCACTGGTCAAGTTCTAGAACCCCTTTTAGGTATTTCAATCAGTTATAGGCTGAAGAAGGACTTACACATTTTCTGTAATCATGTTTTCCAACATTTCTTTCTTTCCCACTCAAGTGGCTATTTTACAATAATAGGCAAGGGCAACCAGTATTCATAAGACAGTAAAGCACTTTAGTATTATTTTCCCTCTTCAAACTATGCCTAGATCCCTGCATCACAGAGCCCTGTTGTTCCAAGGTTGAGTATGCATCACTATTTACCGCTGTCCCAATTAGGCCATGCAAACCTGTCTCAGTGTTTCCCTATCTATCTTGTTCTTCCACCTCCTCCCCCTTCTTGTATTTCCCTCCCGAACACCCAAACTAAACCCCTCACCCCAACCCAACTGTTGTGGTTACCTTTGTTCTTGTTGTTGTTAGGTGCCATTGAGTCGGTACTGACTCATAGCGACCTTATGCAGAGCAGAATGAAACACTGCCCAATCCTGGGCCAAC